AAATCCTCTGAGCCGAACCTCAACTAGATCCAAGTCCTTCCCTGCTTACAGCCTGCAACGCCATGGAGACCCTGCTGATTCACGAGGATCTGATGAGTGGCGAAATCTTCACCGACGTGTGCAATATGCTGAAACGTGAGGGCGTCAAAATCTACGCCGGACCCCGTCTGAACCAGCAGCTAACCTTTGGCCCTCCGGCGGCCAAGAGCCTGAAGCACGAGTACGGAGCCCTCGAGTGCTGCATCGAGATTGTGCCCAGCCTGGAGGAGGCCATTAATCACATCCATACGTACGGCAGTGGCCACACAGATGTCATTGTTACGGAAAACGGTAACGAACGCTCGAAAATTGAAAATTAATTTCGATTTCTGCCATCGAAGTTGAAAAATGGTAGGGTCACCCCTACATCTGCTCTCCTGCCAATTGATTTGGTTTTTGGTTTCTGGTTGTAATGAGAACTGCAACGTGACACAGGGGGAGTCCTCATAATGGTTATTGCTGAAAGTTCGAGGGGCGAGATAATTGCATAAATCAGTGGATTTGAAAAGGGCTTGGAAGGGCGAAGGGTCAATGTCACCTGCAATCAGGGGACGCAAAAAAGGACCGTTTTCAATTAAAAATAGTTTCCTTTAATTTGCCAGATGTCCCTATCACCTTGGAGGTAATTAATCAGGGAGTAGCGTGACCACTGGCAACTAATCACAATGTGGCTTCCAGATGATTATATTTGAATTCAAGTGACACCTTTAGTAGAATTTCCTTGCAAGAACTTAAAGTGCTTAAATTCTAGAAGGTACAGTGGCATTTGCAACAACGACCCTGCCTTAAAAAATTATATTCTTGGTGCATAAAAAACAGGCATTATTCGTGGCATAACATTTAATACTCCCAGTTCCTCCTAGCATTTGTGTGTCGTGCCGTGAATGGAATGGATGTCCCATTCCGCCACGTGTAATTCAATTTAGCTCTCAATGCCATGCAACCATGCAGTTCTTCAGCAATTCCAACTTGCAACCGAAAACCAAACCCGAATCCTAATTCAAGTCGGGCAAGTTTAGCGTGCAACTTTTGCATGCATGGAGCCGGGCAGTTCCTGCCCCACATACCTCCTGGCCCCCTCGTGCCACAACAAATTTAAATCATTTGGGAAATTAATTTTATTCAACACTTTTGCCCGCTCGTGTTTGAATTTGCACACTTCCCCGCATTTTCCACAAATCCACAATCCGGCAACTTGTACACTTCTCCGCTTTCCATTTCCAGATGCGGCGGCCAAGCAGTTCCTGGGGAGCGTGGACAGCGCCTGTGTGTTCCACAACGCGAGCTCCCGGTTCGCGGACGGCTTCCGGTTCGGCCTTGGCGCCGAGGTGGGCATCTCAACCGCCCGCATCCACGCCCGCGGTCCGGTGGGCGTGGAGGGCTTGCTGACCACCAAATGGATACTGAACGGGGAGGACCACGCCGCCGCCGATTTCGCCGAGGGCGGGGGTCGCACGTGGTTGCACGAGACCCTGCCCCTGGACTAGCCCAGCGCCTGCCCTTAATCTAAGCCCCACTTATTGTAAGTCGTAGTACCCCGAAGTGCCCTGAACCAAATACAATTTCCCCGTTTCTTCACACTACGTGATTCTGTGTGTGCATTTTGAGCGAAGGGTAATTAAAAAGGGATCGGGGTGGGATGGTCGGGGCGATGACAGCCCAGCCCCGCGGATGACAGCTGCATGGGAGAAATTAATTTGAGTGAAAAATATTTGGCGAGACAACTTGTGTAATTAATAAAGTAAGGTAGCCGTGGGGCGGGTGCTGGGTCTGGGGTGTAGTTTAAACTGTCAGTCCGTGTCTTGGGCTTAAAAAGTTTCGCGGAGCAGCTAGATGGAAAAGGAAAATAAACTGAAAAGTGCTGAAAGAATTCCGCTTAAAGTTTCAATCTTTGTCGAGTATTATGAATGTGTGCGCATTTCTATTACAAATCATAAATTAGTCGAGAGACGTGAAGTGCAGCTGAGAATAGCCGCTGCCCTCAGAACTCAGCCGCGGCTCGCTGCCCTTTGACCTCTGGTCCTCTCCCCAAAGTGCAGCATCTCGAACTTGGTATGCAACCGCGTGGCAAGTATTTTAATTTTTATGCACACCGTGCCAACTTTCTCGGCCCTCTTGGCTGAGCTCTCCTCCATCATGCTCCTTCACTTTGGTGAAAGTTTTTGCGTTGCGTGCTGGCCGCATAGGAAAAATGAAAAAAGGACTCGCAGGAGCTGCTGGGTGGCCGGGGCTGGTCCTGGCACCAAAGGTGCTTCGTCCTGTCAACGCTCAAACTTTTTTCGGAACCATTTCCCCCAGAAACTTCAAGTCAAATCTGTGCCAGGGGCGACTCAGCAGTAACTGAAGACAATAGGAGTCCTGAAAACCTTTTTATTTTACAATTATTAAACATAAAAGAAATACATTCCATCTTAAAAGTACACAATATTACTTTTCTTAGATTTTTATTTTTTAAATTCTTGGCAAATCTTGATGTACAAAAAATTGTAATACTACTTACTTTGAAAATATAAGGTTTTTAATTCTCTGTGGAAGAAGTAATGAAATAATTCTTTAGAATGTTCACAGTTTGTAACAATAATTGAAATAACTGTGTGTATTACACACACTTTTTTTACACACACAATTTCTGATTTCAAAGTGAAACCTATATTATTAAAGCATTTAATTCGGTAGGAAGACAGAATGCTATATTTACATATTATCTGATTTATGAGATTGTTTAGATAGTTTCCTTTTTATTATTATACATGTGTAATCATTTGTATGACATGATGTTGATCTGATTACTTGAAAAATTCCTTCTTTCTTTAGTAATTTTTAAGAACTTATTGGATCTTAAAGTTGTATGGCACAGAATGGAATTGAAGTGAATGCATTATGGTATAAAATGGCCCACCATGGCAATGAAACTAGATATTTTTTTGAATACTTATATTTATTATTTCAGTCTATAAATAGTTCGAATCTAAAAGTTTCGTTAAAATAAACTCCTTAAATAAAACTGCAAGTATTTTTTATTTGCACTATAAATTCTTTAAAATATTCCTTACTTCCAAGGCCAATTTATCTTTTCTTTAGGAGTCTTTTATTGGGTTGTATGATTTGCCTGAAGACGTCTTTTACGTTTAGTACCTGCCTATCCCCTAGAGATGTTGGGATTAATTTCCACTCATTCAATTAGTTTTTCGTTTATACAATTTTATTGATATTAATATCCACTATACATCTATGTATATTCTTTTGGCCAAAACTATTTTGGCCACCCTTTGGATGCGAATCTATCTGCACTGCCGAAGAAACTGCAACACACTCAGTTGCTGGGGAACATAATTTTTACCTCTTTCAACTGGTTGGGACGCGTGCGGACAATGATACGTGAACGTTGTCCGTACCTGATCCTGGCGAGAGTCACGTAGAGCCCGTGGCCCAGGGCTGGCAGGCAATCGGGAAAGTTTTCGGGGAAAGTTGAGCGGAGTTGAGAAGTTTCGCCATTTGCGCCGTGGAATCCTCTCGTGGCAGTCGCTGCTCGATTGGGGCGCACTTAATTAGAATTTAGATTGTGGGCATTAATCTCGTGGCTAATGCTACGTTGAGATCGGAAGATATCGGTGGACAGGCGCAAAATTGCCGTTGGCCCAATGCACCTCCTCCTCCTGGCATGCCCGCCGCTACACTGCATCCCTTGGGCTCGCCTCGGGAAAAAATAATTTCATTTTATTTCAATTTGATTTCAATGAAATCCACACGACGTCGTCAACTTTTATATCACTTCTAAATGCTTTGGCTGCATTTTTGAGTGTGACAGCATTTGGGCCACACCATCTATGGGCTGAGAGTGGGCCCGAAGAGCATTGGCACAAATTTCGGATGCCACACGGGGGGCGGGGCGGATGCTTGCAAGAACAAGTTGCATACTGCGTTGCATTGTTCGCGGCTTGTTGTTGCTGCTGCTGCGGCGGCAGCTTTCGCGGGGGTTTATTTATATAAAAACTTAAAAATACATCAACAGATGCCTATACAAGTCCTGGCGCATATTCCCTCTATTTTCTTCTCTCTGCTCTACGTCGAAGTCATAGCAATCTTGGCAGCTAGACATAATTTAGCGAAAACTAAATGAAACTAAATGATAAATGGCCAGGCCGAATGGAGAAAAATGAATACCCTGAAAGCTTTCTTTCGGCCAAATTGTTAATTAATTGGCAGGCCCAAGATAATGGCCGGCGAATAAGTGAAATTCCATTTTCAAAGGGCCAACCAAAGGGGTACAAAAATGGATACGAAATGGGGGTTAGGGTTGAGAACGGAATGGGTTATATAAGTATTAATGGTTATTTTTAATTTCAGCATAGGAAGAGGGCCAGGAAGTAATTATCCTTATATCTCTTTTTAAGTCCGAAGAAGTTCTTCCTAACAGTCTTTCTTTATAGTGTTCTTGTGTTCTTTTATAGATTGGATTAGTTTGGATTGTATTGGTAGAAATTTGTTCGTTAATGAAAAAGTTTAACAATGCACGGGTATCCATAAAAACATTCTTTTAACAAAAAGACATAGCAGTTTAAGTAAAATGAATCAATATAAATTTCGTCATTAAGTTGTTATATCCTTAGATAGAATCGCGACATAAATGGCCACTCACAAGATCGCTATCAAACGTCTTGGCCAAGGCATAATGCCCGGAATAAAAACACTTTGGGCCAATAGAAATGATGTGTATCCGGCCCCCGGCGCCCGAGCGCCCCCTCCTGTATGGCTGATCCCCAGCCAGCGTAGCATATCGCGAAATTCATCAACATGTTACTAGCTGAACAATTGTTCAACATGACAGGGACAGGAGCACGGGCGTCGGGATGGGGCTTAGGAATGGGCATGGGCCTGGGCATGGGAATGGGAGGGGCGGTGGGTATAGGGGACAGATGGGGGTGAAGATGGGGGGAGCGGGACAGAACTTATTTAAATGCGGTGGATAGAGCGCAGAACGAATCACTCTGATTGCTGTCGCTGTTGGATTTACACGTCGTGAGTGCCGCCTGTCCACCAATCCGTAACCGTAACCGAATCCGTAGGATAACTGTCTGAATCCTTGTAGTGATTGCTCCGAACCGCCAAACCTAACCCAAACAAAATGTGTGACGAAGAAGCATCAGCCCTGGTGGTGGACAACGGATCCGGAATGTGCAAGGCCGGATTCGCCGGAGACGACGCGCCCCGCGCCGTATTCCCCTCGATCGTGGGCCGTCCCCGTCATCAGGGCGTCATGGTGGGCATGGGTCAGAAGGACTGCTACGTGGGTGACGAGGCGCAGAGCAAGCGAGGTATCCTCTCCCTGAAGTACCCCATCGAACACGGCATCATCACCAACTGGGACGACATGGAGAAGGTCTGGCATCACACCTTCTACAACGAGCTGCGCGTGGCCCCCGAGGAGCACCCCGTCCTGCTGACCGAGGCCCCCCTCAACCCCAAGGCTAACCGCGAGAAGATGACCCAGATCATGTTCGAGACCTTCAACTCGCCTGCCATGTATGTTGCCATCCAGGCCGTGCTCTCCCTGTACGCCTCCGGCCGTACCACCGGCATCGTGCTCGACTCCGGTGACGGCGTCTCCCACACCGTGCCCATCTATGAGGGCTACGCTTTGCCCCACGCCATCCTCCGATTGGATCTGGCCGGTCGCGATCTGACCGACTACCTGATGAAGATCCTCACCGAGCGCGGCTACTCCTTCACCACCACCGCCGAGCGTGAGATCGTGCGCGACATCAAGGAGAAGCTCTGCTACGTGGCCCTGGACTTTGAGCAGGAAATGGCCACCGCTGCCGCCTCCACCTCCCTGGAGAAATCCTATGAGCTTCCCGACGGTCAGGTGATCACCATCGGAAACGAGCGCTTCCGCACCCCGGAGGCCCTCTTCCAGCCCTCTTTCCTGGGCATGGAGTCTTGCGGCATCCACGAAACCGTCTACCAGTCTATCATGAAGTGCGACGTCGACATCCGCAAGGATCTCTATGCCAACAATGTGCTGTCCGGCGGTACCACCATGTATCCAGGTGGGTCTTGAGTTTTAATAAGGGGATTTTAGGTTTTGAATTTCCAGTAGCATCCGATGTGTACATGTTACTAGTGAATAGTACACGCATTCCTTCCATAAAACTTCTTTAAATAATTGGATGAGAGCCCACAGATGAATATCAATATGCTTTCTCAGATGGATATTATTGTTTGATTCTAAAATATTTTTAGCTAAAAGAGATCAAAAGAGCAAATGTAAAATAATACGGGACGTACAAAGATTGTTAGGTTAGGTTCTCAATAGTTTATAAATAGGATCTCTCTAAAGAAATTCAATTTGGCGTATCAGCTATAAATAGATATTAAGCAACAAAATATTTAATAAAAAGGGCACATTCTCACTATCCTTTCATGCTCCCCTCTTCTTGAACTTTCGAATTGATTTTAAATTTGCATATCCTTTCAGGTATTGCTGATCGTATGCAGAAGGAGATCACCGCCCTGGCCCCATCGACCATCAAGATCAAGATCATTGCCCCACCTGAGCGCAAGTACTCCGTCTGGATCGGCGGGTCCATCCTGGCCTCGCTGTCCACCTTCCAGCAGATGTGGATCTCGAAGCAGGAGTACGACGAGTCCGGCCCCGGCATCGTCCACCGCAAGTGCTTCTAAGCACTTGACCATCCTGGCCAGAATTAACATCATCTCCTCGACGGCGTGTCTGGTGTTTGTCTCTCGCATAAGACACTCGCCCAGACACTGCCCCCCAGGAAGAGGACGCAGACGCAGTTCAGTGAAAAGTATCTTTAAAATTACATTTAGTTGATGAAGAAGTTTTAACATTTAGAGAAAACAAGAGAAAGAGAAAAAGAAAGACCAGAAACGAGCGGGCAACGCCTTCTTTTTATTACTCGTACCATTGATATTTTTATTTGATTTGACTCGGAATTCCCATTGCCATTGCCTGATTCGCCACCCAGAGATGATGGCGATGATGAAAAAGTCTCGAAACAATCGGTTGTAACGTGCAATAAAAACCAATAACCCATGTGAATCGAACTGAACTCGAACGTCACAGGCCACGGACTGGGGGAAACTTTTCTAATTAGACCTCGACTTAGCCGAATGTCAATCAGGCACTTGGCCAGCAAAAACTTATTGCTTATTGTTGGCCAGAGTGGCAGGCAATCACAGTATCTGTTTCTCGTGTTGTCTGTCACATTCCGTTTGCCTACCCGGATACCCGGATGGATTTGTGGATGATGCCTTAGCAGGCGGATAGACCTTCTCCTGCCTTCTGCAGGACAAGGTGACAGTCTTAACTCGTCGCCTGCTCCGCCTTGGAGAACTTTCCGTGCTCGCCAACATAAATGTTTATGTTCAACTTTTGGCTGCAAACTTTTCAGGTTTCGGCGAACTATGCACCAACCAGGTGCCAAAAACTGTTGCTTAATTAGTTGGGGAGAAACTTTTGCCCATGCTGAGGAGCAGAGGAGTCTTGCCGAGTTTATTGGTTTAATGCTTGCTGAGACCAAGAGCCCGTAAATATGGCAAGTAGTCAACCGACTTGTTCCAAGTCATGCAAATGGACCCTCGACCGGAAACAGGCTCCGCTAATTCTTTAACAATATTCAATGCAATCACAGCTGGGCTCCAGAATCGTCGCACCACTTGACCCACTTTGACTGCCATAATTACACTTTTAGGCCCCCTTTCCAGGCCCAATTCACTCCGGACTATTGCTCTGAGTGCGGTTCATTATCCGGCACACAACGAGAAGCCGGAACAGGGGGAAATTAGTGCCGCCAGTCGGGTTATAGCCAAATGTTTGGCGGGAGAGGACACTGAATTGGTCAGGACGGGTTGTGTGGCCATCGCCACTCAATCAATCAATGGGCACAGCCTGGGCACCAATATTTCCCACAGACGCACCCAGAGGATAACATATAGAAGGTACGTTTTAGCGTTATAGAATGACATTTCTTAATAATAATAAGACTAGAGCTATATTTTTCTGTTTTTATAAAGAAAAGAGTGCCAAGTTTGTACACTGTACAATAGTGTATACAACAATAGAGTAATTCGCCTAAAATATCTTCAATAATCCAACAGTCGCTCCATATTTCCATTACAATCACATAGAGTATTAAAATATCGAATAGTGTACTCCCCAAAATGAAGCTCATAACGCTTGCATTATTCGGAACCCTGGCCTGCCCATGAAATTGAATTTAATTGCCGTCCGAGAGGAGGATGCGTTGTGTCCTGGAAACATCTCTGTATCCCACCCACTCCCTGATCTGCCGGGTTAGCCCACCGATTGTTTGTTTGTCTACCGCTCTTAGTTGAAATTTGCTGGATTTGGTGTAGCTGTTGTTGCAACAGCAAGTGGCAAGTGGCAGAGCAGGGAGCGGGTTGTTTATTTTATGCTAATTTAATGCACTCTCCTCCTCCAGTCCATGGCCAGCCCAGTGATACCATTATAATTTGGTGTTAATTCCGAAGGCAAATACTTCGGCGTATTTGCCATTTTCATTATGCAGATTTGGCCAAGCGCAAAACAAACATGCTGGAATTAGGGCCCAAAGTTAACGAGTTATCTTCCTGCTCCGGAAAGGGCCGAAACTTTAACAAAAACTTGGTCTTGATGGTCGATGGTTCTGACAAGCTAACAAATTGTTTTCCCTGGCTGGAGGTGCACCACATGCGGCCAGGAAATTAATAAAGAAAAGGGCTCCACCATGATACCAGGCCCCTCCATCTTCGTCAGCCCGGGCGGCTGTCCTTCAAGTCCCTTCCCCAGCTCGTATCATCTCTCCCATTCAATTCTCCAAGTTTAACTGACCGCAGCAGACTTTGTAATTGAGGCGACTCCATCAGCATCTTGGCCATCAACTCCATCGTCCTGGATTTCCCCAGGCTGTCCCAAATTTAAATTTATGTGGCAACTGGCTGAAACTGACATTAACCCAAAATAAAACTCTAGCAGACTCCGTCCCACACATGAGGTCCTTTAGTTCCTCGTAGTAGTTTCAACTGAAATTCAATTAATGCACAGCAGGTACGGGCCACACCTTTCGCTCAGTGTAGTGAAATGCAAACAATTAATGAAAATCAGTGGGTGGAATGTCAGAGTTGAGAGATTGCCATGAACCTTCAACGTTGTACATTGCTGCCTGCAAAGATCCGATTATAGATTGATTCATAAACGTATCAGCGGAAAAAGGCAGATTTATTTATTGGAGAATTACTGATTCATGGACGAGTTGTCCAAAGCAGTCTCGTAAACAATTCTCTCATAAATTGGAACTTCCTTGTACTTCATGCATCCCTGTGTTGTAGTTTTTGTGGACAAAACTAGGCGTCAAAATCTAAAAATTGGATTCATTGGAGCACGTCTTTCAGAGCTAGATTTTAAGCCACGAATATATTATCGAATCGCGGCAGTACTTCAGTCTGGGAAATTATTGACAGCTTTTACTGTTCACTCGGAAAAGGATAAACACACGTCAGACACTTCCCCCGTGGTGTTGGTCCACACAGAATCCGACTCCTTTTATCCTTTCCGCGTGGGCTGGTTTCGGGCTTAAGTCCCATGAATGAAGCGATTATCGCGTCTTTGTCAGCAGCATCAGCAATTGAGGTAGCAACACGGCCGGAGGTGCTGTCCCGACAACGTAAGACGGCGAAAACAAGCCCCCGGATGAGCATCCTTCGTTTTCCGTTTGTCAGGTATTGGTGGGTCCTGCCAGGACCAGACACAAGTATAGGACGACGGGAAGAAACACAAATACGCAAGGGTTTCATAAACATTCTTGGGGACGCCCAAGGCTGATATCCGAGTCCACGTCCCCCAGTTGCTGGGAGACTTGAAAGTCCCTTTCCCGGATAATATCCCGCATTTTTGCGATGGTCTGTGTGCATGTGCGCTCTTCTAATTCAATTAATAGTTCCTCGCAATTAAGCGCAGTGATTATTGAAAAAGCGGAGAACGAAGCCATTACAATAAATTGGAATCGAAAGGGTGGCAGGGGCTACCCCATATCCTGCCCTCAAGAATAAGCCAGAATCGGATGGGAACAATCTGAGTATCAAAGACTACTGGGTGCCCTTTTGTGATTTAAAGAAAACAATGCGTGTATAGGAACGCTCTAGTATTTATTATTAAATATTACTATTTGTGAGACTTCCATTAAGGATATAAAAAAGTTGGTTCATGGTGTGCATCTGTAATACATGGAACACAACCCACATACACCCTTTTATTGACTAAATTGAAATGTACCCTTTGATAGAGGATATCAAAAGTAGAGGAAACTCAAAGGCAAAGGCAATGGCAATGAGAAGGAAAAAAAACGACGACTACATAGTATGGGAAATGGGCGAGAGTGGGTGAAAGCGAACAGTTTTTAATGCCCATCAGGACGCATCAGCTTAATGCCGATTGCTGGATTCTCGCCGGGATGATTCCGAAGCTCATGTGATGATGAGATGAGTGCAATCCAAGAGCTTGAGCATACATAATTACCAGACTGAAGGACGCGGCTAAATGGGGCAAACTGAATTATATGCGGGAGATGCACATGAGAGGGAGGGCGAAGGGCTATTAAACGGTGGCTCCTGCGTCCTAGACGCTGACATTAATTACCATAAAGTCTGCATTTTAGGCATGCAAAAGACAGGAGGTTCAAGATGCGCGAAAACCGTCAAAGGAAGGGCTTCCACTTGAGCCAGCTTGGCCCGCCTGTCAGCACGGGAGTCGCCCCGAGACTTGAGCTTGAAAACAATTTGCATACGGGAGCAGGTGCCTGGAGCTTGGGGGCGAATTTTCCATCTACTTTATCGATGAAGTGGGTCCCGGTCCCACATGCAGGTGGGACAGGTGGCATCACAATCGAGGGGGATTTGATGCTAAGCAGCTGCTATTTATGGGATTGTGATTCTGTGGGGAAACAAACAGACGAAAGCGGTCTCACCGGAAAAAGTATGTCTCGATAAAAAATCAGTAAACTTGAATGGCAGAGGATAAATTTTAAGATGTGCTAAAATAACTAAAAGTCTTTAAGGCTTAAATTTTCATTTCTGTTTCAGTTCAGGTCCTAGGTCTATGTTCTAGTTTTGATTAACAAAAATGTTGCATTCAACATTTATTTTAATTGTGTCATAACAAGAGAATAAAATGAACTTGGAAGTGGACTCTGGAGCACTTTGTGTTCTGACCTTAATTTGGCTGAACAACAGGCCAAGTATTTGACCCTGAATGTTGCTCGGTTCTTGGGATTCATTCGCCGGCAACAAACTATTTTCATTTGCCAGTTCAACAGAACCACAAACGAGTTAGAAGGGACCATGCCACGAACCAGACCAATGGCAACGCCAATAAAAACTTTCGGGCTTAAAACCGCAGAAAAGTTGAAAAGTTTTCCCTTGATTTTATGAATATTGACCGAATCAGATTCAATTGAATTGGAAAAGGCGAGACCGCGTCGAGAGATCGCAACAAATGCTGGGCGAAACTATTTAAAAGCAAATTTCGGTTTCGACCCAAGTTGAAACAATTGCAGTTCGCAGAGGGCTTCCCTTTTGGCGGAATTTAATTGCAGGAAGGGGGTTTTCCCTTCCGAGTGTTCGCACCACGAGATCCTTGCGGACTTTTCACTTCATCGCCTAATTGCGGTCGGCAAGGGGAAAAGTTGGCAAAACTCGGCCTGGAAAAAGCAAATCAGGGCAAAAGCAAGACTCGGCCGAAAGCATCGAAATCTTTTGTTAATGTTTCCCTTTTGTACGGGTTTTTATTCGGGCCTTAATTTAATAAATGTGCATTAGGTCTGCCTTAAATAGAATCTGTGGCCGCTCCTCCGGCTCCACCTTCGCCGGCTTCTAATAATAATAATAAGACTGAATTTTAAATTCAATATTTTCATATTACCCGAGCTTCGGATATTGAAATTCCAGACGCGGTCGGGGCCTGTTTGCAGTCCCATTGTTGTTGCTGCTGCCCTTGGCTTTCTTTTAATATTGCACACAATATGCACAAGGTGGAGGAGTGGCCCA